ACATGGTTAGGATAAGTGGATTAGAAAAATGTGAACATGGTCTGTGTTGTATTGCATAGTATCGGATTTATGTCCACTGCCTGATGAGACTAAGAAAATGCACTGGTTCTTATATAAGATCTATATTGGGGGCTAAGATGGCATCATATCTTAATTTCAATGCTCTGAAAACAGTAGCTATGTATAGAGAAAATGATAAAGCCTGTGTGGTAGAATGGACACATGGAATGGGGAGGTGGGCACCATCGGAGTTCTGAGAACATGTGTCAGCCTCCAAGGCTCACTGCCTCCACGCTACCAGCCATTCAGTGTCCTCCCCTGGGCTCCCTTCTCTTCCTTGTCTTACATCATCCCTAAGTGTGTGTCTGTTTCCAAGGTATTCAGGACCATGCATGTGACAATCTCAGACTTCTCTCTTGAATTGTGGTTCCTTTTCATACCATCAGATGGAATATCCAGTTACCTCCCAGCTCCTCAGTGTCTCATAAGTATCTCCAAGTCACCATATCCCAACAATGTCCATGTTCTGTCCCCTCTCCCTGGGCTTTTCACCTGGGTGCACAATGCCAGCCACTTGCTCAGATCAGAAAAAAAAAAATCCACTGGTCATTTGGGCTTATCGTTCCCTACTTCCCCGTTACATACAACTTTGTTTCTTGAAGTGAAACTTCATTTTCAAACAACAAGCTTTTTTGTTATCTTTCCCTTTTCCCAACCATTTATTAAAATCTTTGGGGAAATCTACAGTCCTGACAAAAATTTGCCAGCAAGTAACAATGTTCATACTATATAATCATGGCTCAATTAATAACCTTGTTCTTATGATTTTAAAAACTCTGACTGCTGCTTATTTATGTATTTATTAGCTATTTTAAAACTTTTAAAATTGTGTTTATTTATGTACCCATAGTGTGTGTGTGTGTGTGTGTGTGTGTGTGTGTGTGTGTGTGTGTGTATGTCTATACAGATGTGCATGCACATGCCATTGTACACATATTGAGGAGTTGTGTACATAGAGGTGTGGTGATCAGAGGAATTGGTTCCCTCCTTCTGCTGTGTGGGTTCTGGGAACAGGACTTGGGTGGTCAGGTTTGGAGGCAAGTGCCTTTCCTTATGCACCATTCCACCAGCCCCATCTCATTAGCCATTGAGACTGTGCTTGCAATATGAACAAACATGAAATAAAATAGGAATCTCCACCACATTGCCATTGATCCGATAGATATTAGGAGAGATATTAATCACATGAAGTGACATAATGCTGCCATTCAACACTTGTTCATCATTTTTGAAACACTTTTATGCTAAATGTTTGTTTCATGTGAGCTCTTGTGCCTGAAAGATGTTCCTCACAGTCATTGTGAACACAGTCACTTCATCTCTACCTGGAGCTGCAGTGGAACATGGTGAGCCTATGGGTGTTGGAGCCATTTGGGCAGAATTGTGGTCATCTGAGATCCTGAAGCACAGCACAGGTCCACGATGTGTAAAGTGTTAGATGGTAAGATGCAGATCAACTCCTCAGAATGAACTTTGCTAAACACAGGTTCCCAGACATGATGTAATTTGTAACAGCACATGTGTGCTTGCAACAGAAAAAGAATCCCCCACTCCCTTTCAGGGGTAATCCCTCATCTCTGCTCTTGAAAACGTTATTTTTTGCTGCTGAAGATTTTAATACAAAGGAAAGTCACAATGATCTGGTAGGAAACTGAGCTGGTCAGTGGGGGGGCCCCAGTATCACCAGAGTACCTGTTCTTTTCTACCTGGCTATAGTCTTTGGGGTCAAGTAAACCACACTTGACAAAGAAAGCTCTTTGGAATTGGGATTATTTTCTGTATCGGTTTATTACATATAAAAATAAAATACATTTTCATTAGGAGGCAAAAGATGACGGCAAAAGATTTTCAGACTAATAAAGGAAAGAGACCCTCAGAATTTGTCATCAGCAGACCTCGTTATAGGAAATACGAAATGATTCATCAGCAGTGTGAGCCTGGATGGGAAGGATGAAAAGTAAGGACACGAGGACTTTATAAAATAATAATAAGGATATGGGTTTAAGGTTTACTTGAAATAAATGTCAGTATAGAAGTTGTGAGGAGGTAAATGTGGCTAAGATATTGTGAAGACTCTCTGTGTTGCAGGATAGATGATTCCTGAGTAAACTTAAGTTTTCTTCTGTTTTTTAAGCTTCATTTAGGGCCCAGTGTGCTAGCACATGCCTTTCATCCCAGTACCACGAGACACATTTGTGAGTTTGAGGCCAGCCTGGCCTTCATAGAGAGTTCCACAGCAGCCAGGACTACACAGTGAGATCTTGTCTCATAAAAACAGGGAAAAAATATTTTGTTTTTATTTTATTTATTCTGTGTACCTGTGTGAGTGTACACCACATGCATGCCCTGCCTACAGAATCCAGAAGAGGGTGTTAGATCCCCCGTTGCTAGAGTTACATACAGTTGTGAGAAGCCCCATAAGGGTGCTGGGAACTGAACCCAGCTTCCCGAGAAGAGCAACAAGTGCTCCTAACCACCTCTCCAGACCAGAATTTATTTATTTATTTATTTTGATACAGAATGTCATGTAGCCCCGGTTGCCCTTAGACTTACCCTGTAGCTGAGGCTGACCTTGAACTTCTGATCCTCCTGAGTGCTGGGATTACAGGTGTGGACCACCATGCCAGTTTATGTGGTACTGAGGATCCTCCCAGGGTTTCTGCAGACCAGGTAAACACCCCGCTACTTGTGCTCCATCTCTAGCCAAGAGTTTAGTTTTTTTTTTTTATTTTATACTGATATTTTTATTCAGGACAAAAAAACAAAAACAGAGCCACACAAAGACATCTACGTCACTTGCAGTATTGGTCAGCTTTCAATTTGGCTCTCCTGCCCAGAAGTGTCTCCTGCAAAAATCCATCTTTCCAAGCCTTTTAAAGAAGTTTACTGCTGGGTGGCAGTGGTGCATGCCTTTAATCCCGGCACTTAGAAGGCAGAGCCAGGTGGATCTCTGTGAGTTCGAGGCCAGCCTGGTCAACAGAGAGAGATCCAGGACAAGCACCAAAACTACATGGAGAAACCCTGTCTCAAAAAAAACCAAAAAATTAAAAATTAAAAAAGAAGTTTACTATCTTCTTTGCTTATTTTGAGTTTGTGATCTTGGAAGCTCTGAGATTTCGTCATGTAGTGGAGTTTGCACTGTTTCGAATTCCCTTTGTCTTCTGGGATGCCATCTTTTCTCTTGGCTTCTCTTTGGATCTAATCTTAATTATTTTTCCTTCTGCTGCTGTTTTATTCATGGCTTCTCTATTGCCTGCTTCATTGCATCTAATAAAGCAGCTATTTGAGACCAGTAAAGCCATTTTCCCATCTAGAAACACTGGTTCCCATTGTGCTCTTGGCCCAATTGCGTCCAAACACCCAACAAGTCCGTCTGAATCTATACCAAGATATTTTTCCATAGCCAGATTTCAGGGCAATTCTGGAATCAGACAATTCGACAGCATTCGACCCTCTGGAGGACAGGGCCCCTCATCCACTTCTCTCTCAGTGTAAAAAGGTCATTGTCCAGTGCATGATATGGGCTCCTTTATCCATTTCAATGCCAACGGCTCCTGAAATCTCCCTGAAGTTGGATACGGTCTACCAGATTCCCACAATATCAAGTTGGGTTTCCGCATCCTCTTCTGGTTTTCTCTTCTTATCTTTGCCCTCTTTCTTTTTACTCTTGGCCTTGGTGCCCTTGAGCACGAGTTTGGTGGACTTTACATAGGAGTGTTCGGCCATGCTTGGGCACTCAGAGGTGGCAGCCCCTGGCAGAGTTTCCGGAGGCTGGGAGGAGGAAGTGGAGAAGGATGGAGAGTGACTATAATGTGGGAGTTGAGCCTGAGTTTAGATTTTGATAGGACCTAGAGATGAGTGCTTAAGTTTCTGAGGTGGTCACTACAAACACAGAAACACAACAAACTAAAAGAGAGAGGAATAAAATACAATGAAACTTTTTTTAATGCTCTGAGGAAAACAAGAAACCAACCAAAACCCATCATCAATCTAAAAGAAAGAGAAACAATGTATCAGACAAGAACCGTAAAATAAAATCATAGGCTTAAACCCAGTAGATTCTGTTTTGTTTGTAGGACAGCTGTGTGTGTGTGTGTGTGTGTGTGTGTGTGTGTGTGTGTGTGTGTGTGTGTGTGTGTGTGTGTTCAACTCAGAAAGCTATTACTAGACACTTGACTGCCTCCCGAGTGCTGGGATTAACGGTGAGCGCCACTGTGCCAGGCAACTGTAGACTCCAACAACCTAGGGAGGTGAACCAGGATGGGCTATGTGTCCAAAGTCCTGTGTGTGTGTGTGTGTGTGTGTGTGTGTGTGTGTGTGTGTGTGTGTGTGTGTGTGAGACTCAGGAAACTATTACTAGAGACCTGAGCTTTGGGCTTGTCTGTGTGTGAGGCCCCAGTCTGTCCTCTGCATGACAAGGTCTTTTTTTTGCGGGGTGGGGGGTTGGGGGTGTCTCCTTGAGACAGGACAGATGGCTCAGACCTGCTTCAAATGGTCTCAGCCAGTGCTTACTGGGACTCCCTTACATCTATGCTTTGTCTTTGTTTCCTGTCTCACATCCTTTGTGTCCCCCGTTCCACTTTCACTGCGTTCTTTTCCTCTAAGTACATTGTTTTAATCCATTTGTTCATTCTTAACTATTTTAAATTATTTTCTCATTGCTTGCTCTAGGGATCATAATGGATCATTATTTTTTCCCACGGTCTGCCTCTGGTTAATGCTAACTTAATTCCGAGGTCAGAGAAACTATGTTACAATGTAATCTATCCGCTCACTTGGTGAAGGACTAGGAAGCACACTTTGGGGGCGGGGGTGGGGGGGTGGGGGGGGTGCATAGGGAACATGATGAATGGTTTACAGTCTCATTACAGCACCATTTTAGCCATGTAACTATACATTACCCAGAGCCATACAAAGTCACAATTAGCCAAGGGCAAGGCCATGATAAACAACAGCTTTATTGACTACTGTGCCCAAAGCTCTAGACATCACATGCTAATAGGGTCACCGTCCCTCAGGAAGTCGCAGGGGAGGAGTGGAGGCAGGCAGAGGACCTCTGAGCGGCTCTGAGGAAAGCATCCGTCAGTCCACAGCCCCCAAGGCACCGCCAGCACTGCCTCTCTAGGTGATGGGCTGTTCTTCCTCGGTTGAGATGATAGTCAGTAACTCTTGAATAACCCTTTGCTCCTGCACACTAAGATATTCTTCAGCTAGACTGAGGGCTCTCATGGCGTGTTCCTTTGCCTGAAACAGAATTTCAGTGGTAAGTGGAAGTGGTCCCAGGAAAGAATATCAATAAGAAACTAAATTTGTGTTTAACTCAGAAACCAGGGAGGGAACTGGTCACCTTCTCTCGCTAGCCACTGAGCTCCACGGAAAGTTCACAGACAGGTACACCTCCTCAGGAGAGTGAGAGCTGGGAAGGGTCTCCAGCCAGGGACCAGAGTTGGGAGGCAGAGAGGTCTCCTCTGGTGTCACAAGTAGATTATCCCAGAGACCCTGGGGCCCAGAGGCTTGGGCAGAGGCTCCATGGGATCTCTATCTCAGGGTAGTCTCCGGCTCCTATTTTCCCCACCCTTTCTTCTAAACACTGTTGACTGAGAAGCTGCCAGGGACCAACTACACACAGAAGTCCGTGTCCTTGTGCAGGAAAGACAACAGGCACAGTGAATAAAAAAACATGATGATACTGTTTTTATGTTTTTGAGACAGGCTTTTTCATAGCCCAGGCTGGTCTCAAATGTGCTGTGTAGCTGAGGGTGAACTTGAACTTCTGCTCCTACTGTCTCTTCCTCCTGAGTGCTGGGACTACTTGTGTACACCACCACATCCATGTTTATGACAGAATTTTAAGCAGAAATGTATGCCAAAGAACCAATGAAAGTAGAAAAGAGGTATTGGAAAGATTGGTGATGGTAGTGGATGTCCTGGTTGTTGTTTGTTTGCTTTCTCCTTTTGAGTCAGGGTTCTTCTGTGTAGCCCTGGCTGTCCTGGAACTCACTCTGTAGACCAAACTGACCTCAAACTCATGAAATCTGCCTGCCTCTGCCTCCTGAGTGCTGGGATTAAAGGCGTGCGACACCACTGCCCGGCTTTACTGGTTAGCTTTTATTGTAGACTTGACACAACCTAGAGTCACCTGGGAAGGGAGAAGCTCATCTGAAGAGTTGCCATGATCAGACTGACCTGTGGCCATGTCTATGAGTGACTGTTTTGATTGGTGATCGATGGGGAGGGCGAGGGGGGGCAGCTCACTGTGGGCGGCACCATCCCTAAGCATCATTCCTCCACGGCTTCTGCTTCAGTTCTTTTTTTTTTTTTTTTTTTTTTGGTTTTTCAAGACAGGGTTTCTCTGTGTAGCTTTGCGCCTTTTTTAGAACTCGCTTTGGAGACCAGGCTGGCCTCAAACTCACAGAGATCCGCCTGGCTCTGCCTCCCAAGTGCTGGGATTAAAGGCATGCGCCACCACCGCCCGGCCTGCTTCAGTTCTTACCCTGATTTCTCTCACTGACGGACTGTGAGCCAGAAGTATAAGTGCACACAACCCTCTCCTCCCCCCAGGTTGCCTTTGGTCATGGTGTTTATCACAGTAAGAACAGTCAAAGGAGGAGGGCGGGACCACAGCTTTAGACAGGGAAGAAAGACATGGAGGAAATGGGTGGTGATGAGTCTCCCCGTACAGATGTACAGACGGGCCCTTTTTGTCTACGCACCTGCAGGAGACCTAACATCCTTAGCATGCTTTGGAGTAATGACTTCCCCCTAAAATGGACCCTGACCTGTAGGAATGAGGTTTTAGACAATGGTAATGTGAAAATTCTCTGGAAATATTTTCCTGGTCTCTATTTCTCCCAGAATTCCGGGATTAGCACCCCTCTTCTGTGCTCCCCCAGTACCATGAGCTTCACCGTCACACTGTCTTATGACCATACTGAGCTGCCCCAGACCCGGTGCTTAACAGAAGTTCTGGAAGGAAGCGGGGGAGGGAGGGAAGGAGGGTGTGAGGAGGCAGTGTGGAGTTCTCCATGTTGCCCACATACACTTCTGTTCTATTTTTCTTTATAGCACTTTTTACTGTCTGAGGTGATATTAGACATTTACATATCTGTCTGATTAGGGTAGCTTCTCTTTCTCCAGAAGTCCCAAGTTCTACAGAGAAGTAACTTGTTTGGCTATCTGCTTCTGTCTGCTCCGTTCTTGACAGAAAGCCTTTCAAGTGGTAGATGCTCGATAAATATTTGAATGGATGAATCAATCAATAGCCTGAGATAGACCACTTACTGTCTATAACACATTGAAAAAATAATCAAGTCTTTCTGTGCCTCAGTTTCCTTATCTATAAAGAAGGGGTGAGAATTAAACATGACGGTCATGTAATGGGCTTCAGCCAGTGTCTGGCCTCCTTTTTAACAGTTGAAAGGCAGTTCCTGTCTGCCTAAATCCCCACAACAACAGGGAGCTAGGACACAGAGGCCACTTCAGTCTCCACCAGCATCTTCAGAACCTTCCTGGATGCAGCAGGTTTCCTAGCACTACCCCCACCCCATTCAGTTCATCCACACAGCCCTGGAAATGCCCCCCGAGAGAAGAAATCCCAGAGTCCATCAGACAACCGGCCTGGCAGTGTTATAGACGGAAAGCTTGCCCTGGAGGTAGCGGGCGAGAAGTAGCTGAACTGAACTGCTAGAGGCTTTGCTGTCTCTGTATAGGCAGCTTCTCTGGGGAAGCTTACCTTTGAAGTCTCCAACATCAGATAGTAAAGTATGCTCAGGGTCTTCAGAACAAGGACGGTTTTTTGGGGTGTTTTGCTGGAAGTAGATTCTCGGATGCTCAAGATTGAAGTTAGGATCCGAATGGCTTCTGCTTCCTGGGCTTCATCTGCATTGGAAGAGGAGGGAAGGCACACAGACCTCAGAGGCTGGTGGGGGTTGGGGTGGGGGGAGCTCAGTGGTTTAGAGGCTTAGTGGATAAGAAAGCTTGCTGTATGAGCACAAGGACCTGCCTGAGTTCAGAGCCAGGCAGTCATGTAAAAACCAGGTATGGCTGTTTGGCTTGTACCCAGTGGCTGGGCAGGAACAGAAACAGGCTTGCTGGAGCTGGCTACATGGGGCATGCTGCATCTGTGTACACACACACACACACACACACACAAACACACACACACACATACACACACACACACACACCTGCCCTTGTCCTAGACACTCAGCTGTGGACTTCTGCAGCCTCCTCACGGGGGTTCCAGGAGTCAGGGAAGTAGGACAGCTTGTACAGCTCTCCAGCTCGTCTAGCAGGTCAGTATCGGAGTGACCACAGCCCCCAGAGCTGCTAAGGTTTCTATTTCAGAGGCTGACATCTCCTGTGCTCCTCGACAGGGAATCTGTCAGGCAGACTCCTTGGGACCCATTCAACCACCGCCCCAGTTGCAGCTGCCTAGTTCCTCCCGCCAAGGTCAAAGACAGCTGACCTACAACAGCCTGACTGTCCCCACCGAGTCTGCTTATTTCCCCGCAGATTTTTTTCTTTGTTTGTTTTATTGAAATGCTATTAGACTTGCTATGTAGCCCAGGCTAGCCTTGAACTTCCATCCCCCTGCTTCTACCTCTAAGTGCTGGGATTATGGAAGATCCATAATCCCAAAAAACTTCCCAGAGGTTTTTGTTCCTGTGTTGATTATTATGGGTCTGCACTTAAGAGCATATATTTAAGTGATACGATTAAAGAAAAAGGCAAAAGGACATACCCATGATGCGAAGCATGGCCACCCATACATGGCATGTTTCTACTATAATGTGAACTGTGTTCCTGATGAGAAAACTGAATAAAGTTACTAAACTTCTAAACTTTATCTTACAATCTCGCCTTCAAAGTCACCCTTCCCATGGTGCCCACCGGTCCTCTTCTGGGACTCCTGTCAGGGTTTGCACTTGCAGAATATCCTTTTGCTGCTGCTCTGTGTCACCTGCCCTGGGGGTGGCTTTTGAGTGGGAACTAGATCTCCCATCTTTTTACCCTCTCAGAGAGCATGGCCCCATACAGTACTACCCAATATGCAGCCCTTTGCAGGCCTGAGGATGGAGATGGATCAAGTCTGGCCCAGGAGGACAGGGTGTCAGGAGGGATCAACAAGGCAACTTCTGCACAGAACGTCCCTGGGCTTATGGACCATGGAGGCACAACAAAGAAACAGATGCTAGGTAGAAACCACCAGGGTCTAATGGGGGTCCCCTTTTCTCTAAGTCTGCCCTTATCAGCCTCCTGAGGATTGTGTGGGATGGCGGGAGTCTGAACTTTTTCTGATACTGGTACAAGCTCTTTGAGCCCATTTTTCTCTCCAGCTGCAAAATGAGGAAGGTGGCACCAATGGGCACCGATGGGCTCTGTGAGAACACACAGAGGCGAGACCTGAGTGTTGGGGGGAAAGCCACTGTGCCACTTGCTAGGAGACCTGCCACTTACCCAGGCCGGTGTCATTCACAAACTGTTTGCCCAGTAAGTCTGTTTGTTGGGAACGAGCCCGTAAGAGGGTTTGATAGTGACCATTCAAATATGTATGCCAGATCTCCGAGACCTGTTGGGAGAGCAGGGCGATCAGACCAGCAGGTCAGGGCCAGCCACGGGCCAGCCAGGTGGGAACCTGCTGTTCAAGGCCAGGTTTCCTGACTCTAGAAGCCCTCACTGTGCATGGGAGCAGAGGGAGCCCCAGGAGTCCAGACAGGCCTGGTGCAAGTGTGTAAGACAAGGGCTGGGCAGGCTCACCAGGGCAGCCTGCCAGGGTCTCAGGTCAACGGCTACCATTAGGAAGCACATACTTACTACTCCCATTTATGTGTGAATAAACTCTGGCTTAGAAAAGTTACCAATACACTTAACTTTTGGAAATAGCCGACAAATGGCATAGCCTGACTCCATACCCAGGTCTGACTGACTCCAAAATTCACTAGGTTCAGGTACACTGAAATGCTTTTTTTTTTTTTTTTTTTTTTTTTTTTTTCCCAAGACAGGGTTTCTCTGTGCCCTGGCTGTCCTGGAACTAGCTCTGTAGACCAGGCTGGCCTCAAACTCAGAGATCCCACTGCCTCTGTCTCCTGAGTGCTGGGAATAAAGGTGTGTGCCACCATTGCCTGTCCCAAAAAACCTTTTTCTAAGAAATGGTTCTAAAATAGAAAGCCAAAGTCACAGTATGATAGCCTATACCCCAGTTGCTACCTGAGTGAGGGATTCCTGAATGGATAACTGGCATTTTCATACACTGGAAAGTTTTTACACGAAGCGTTGGGAGGCAGGAGAGAAGGCTCAGTGGATAGAGCGCTTGCTGTGCACGCATGAGACCTGAGTTCAGATCCCGGCCCCCACTGAACACAGGACATGCACCGGGTGGTGGCGGGACATGCCTGGGTGCCACAACACACACGTGGAGGTCAGTGGACAACTTTTAGGAGGCGGGCCTCTCCTTCCACCATGTGGGTCCTGGATCAAACTCAGGGAAGTTCCTTCCTTCCATATGACTGCCTCGCTGGGCTGTGTGACAGGGTGTGACAGAGCCTGCCATAAGCTCTGCCTCTCTGTGAATCGCTATGCAGATGCTAAGGATTCGCCGTTTTAGCACTAGAGAAAGGGGAAAGTGAAGGACTCGGAGGGTTAGGCTGTGTAAGCTGATGCAAGCTCACCTTTGTGTACAACGTGTCTGCCAGCTCCATTTTACTAAGACCATGGAAGATATTGGCCAGGTGGAAGTAGCCTCCTGAGGTCCTAATGTCTTCTGTTCCAAACGCACAACTGGCAAAATAAATCTATTGTGGGAGGAAGAGAAAGGCGCTTGAGTCCCCGGAACCAGGGGACAATGGAGGGCTTGTGCCCAGAACGCACAGAAAGACTCTTCCTACAGCCGGATGTAAAAATGGACCAGGGACCTGAGAAGACATTCCTCCAAAAGATACATGAATGGCTAATAAGCATGTGACAAATGCTCCAACTGCCAGTCAGTCAAGAAATGCAGAACAAAATCACAACAGTCTTCCCTCTCCTCATAGCCAGGATGATGGCTCTCTCCAAAAAGAGAAACCGGCAAGCCTGGAGAGGAAATAAAAGCCCCAGACATGGCTAAGAGGGATGGAAAATGGTGTGGCCTCTGGGCAACAGCCAGGCAGATCTTCAGAAGACTGACTATGGAGCTGCTGTGGGGCCCCGGTATTCCTCCTCTGGGTACCTTCCCAAGAGAAATGCACGGGTGTGTCCACAGAGAGACTGGTTCACAAACGTCTGTCACAGTCATTCATAACAGCCCCAGAGCAGAAACACCCATCATCTCAAGAGTAGATAAATAACCTGTGGCCCAGACAGAGTGGACAGGTCCTTGACAATAGAAGGGACCAGCTGCTGATCATACAGCAACATGAATGGACTCCAAATGCTACGCAAAGTGAGAGGAATCAGACAGATTCTCCCTTTATAAAGAGTCCGTGGAGGGCTGGAGAGATGGCTCAGAGGTTAAGAGCACTGGCTGCTCTTTAAAAGGTCCTGAGTTCAATTCCCAGCAACCACATGGTGGCTCACAACCATGTATCTTTAGATCTGGTGCCCTCTTCTGGAATGCAGACAGAACACTGTATACATAATAAATAAATCTTAAAAAAAAAAAGAGAGAGAGAGTCTGTGGAGACGAGACTGGCCACCCGGGCCTGGGATTTGAATGGGAAATGAGCGCAGATGGAGATGAGGGTTCCTTTGGAGATGGAAATGTTCCAAAACTCAATTGTGCTGCTGGTTATGCAGCTCTGTAAATGCACTGAAACTTACTGAAGTGCACACATGAAGACCGAGGTTTCTGTAGTTTGTATCCATGAAGTGTGTTTAGGGGGCGAACATCTGGGTGTGATATCAAAATCTGCAATCCCAGCACTCAGGAGGCTGAAGCAGGAGGATGGTGAGTTCAAGATCAACCTGGAGTATATAATAAGACCTTGTCTCAAAAAATGTATCTAGAGACAGGTGTGGCATGTACCTTTAATCCCAGCACTTGGGAGGCAGAGGCAGGTGGACCTCTATGAGTTTGAGGTCAGCTGGTATACATAGTGAGACCCTGTCCAAAAGAAATACAAACAAAAAGCAACAAATATGTGTCTGTCTCTGTGTGTGTCTGTGTGTGTGTGTGTGTGTGCACCCACGATTCCTCCACTGTATCTCCCAGCCTCCTCTCCCCAACTGTGCCTCCCACTCTTTAATCCCTAGCAAAGTCACACAGCAATGGCATCCAGGATGACCATGGAGGTCAGCCTCCCAGGGCAGAGAGTTGCACAGAGAGTGGCCTGGAGGTTCAGGGAAGAGTCTAAGGCAAGTGCAGAGGCAGGCAACCAAAGGCAAGGGTGTGTGCGTGGAGAGGTGAGTGGAGACACGACAGAAAGACCCCGTGGAGATGACAGGATGACCCAACCTGGAATTCAGGTGCAGGAACTCTGTCTGATATTTTCCTCTCCAAAAATTCTATGAGGAACTCCCAACTTGAGAAGAACAGCTCATCACTCCTCCTGTCCAACATTTGCACAGTTTTATAGATTGTAAGTACTTTCTTATAGATCCAGCTCATTTAAATTTAATAACCACACGCTGAAGAAGCGATGTTAATATTATTTTAACAGAGAGCCACTAAGTCCAGTGCGTACAGTCTTTTATTAATCTCTGCAATGCACTGATGTGGTTGTGTCTTACATGTGAAAGAAAGGTTAACTAATTTGTCATAGAACCAGCAAAGCTGGGAACAGAAGCACAGCCCTTGTCTTAGGCAGTGTGCAGCTCTCTTCAGAGACAACTGAGGGATGGGGGAGGTGGGGCCCGGCCACATTTGCATAGCCAGGAAGTAGAAGGATTTGAACCTGGGTCATTAGAACTGAGTTCTTGGGGTTGGGGATTTAGCTCAGTGGTAGAGTGCTTGCCTAGCAAGCGCAAGGCCCTGGGTTTGGTCCTCAGCTCTGGAAAAAAGAAAGAAAGAAAGAAAAGAACTGAATTCTTGCTGCGACTCTCGAATGGTCAGTATGAGCAGTCAGTCTTAGAGAATGCTCAGTTAAAGAAACACTGAACAGAAGTGTCCTTGGAAGTATCCAGGGGTTTTAAGTGAGCTCACTCACATCATTAGCCAGATGGTACCGGGCTTCCTCGTGGTTGTCCTTGGCTATGTAGAGAAGGCCCAGGTTCCGATGCAGTAAAGAGTGTGTGGCATTACTACAGTTAGTTGACTTGAGGACTGTCCACCGGGCTTGGGATAGATATTCTTCAGCCTGCACTATCCGGCCCAGACCTGCCAAAAATCAGTTATAAAAGATGTTATAAGCCAGGCAGGGTGGTGCATGCCTTTAATTCCAGCACTCAGGAGGCAGAGGCAGGAGGTTCTTCATGAGTGTGAGGCCAGCCTGGTCTACATAGAGATATTCTATCTCAAAAACCACCAAATAAATAAATAGGTTATAATTCAGTTTTTAAACAAAGAATATACAATGAAATATGAGTCATCATACATTCATTTATTCATTGATACAAATATTTATTGGTGCTGCAAACTGCTCATGAATGTTCCTAGCAATCTATTCATAACAAATGTTCATCAGTTGATAAGCATATCCTTCCCCATGAGTGAACTGTGACTAGTCATAAAGAGAATATGTCCTGGATCCCTGCTACAGAGCAGATGGCTTGAAAACAGCATGCTAAGTGAAAGAAGCCAGGCACCAAAAGCCACATATGGTCAGATTCCTTTTATGCGAAATGCCCAGAACAGGTACATGCACAGAGAGATAGGAGTTAGTTGTGGCTGGGGGTGGGGGAATCAGGGAAAGGAACAAGTGGGGATGTCTAATGAGGGGTAACTACTACAATTACATGGATTTTTAGAGGTGACAGAATGTTCTGTAATTAAATAGAGTGAGTTATACAACCTTTTTTTTTTTGTGGTTTTTTTTTTTTTTTTTTTTTTTTTTTTTTTTGGTTTTTCGAGACAGGGTTTCTCTGTGTAGCTTTGCGCCTTTCCTGGAACTCACTTGGTAGTCCAGGCTGGCCTCGAACTCACAGAGATCCGCCTGGCTCTGCCTCCCGAGTGCTGGGATTAAAGGCATGCGCCACCACCGCCCAGTTTACAACCTTTTAAATATATTAGATTGTACCTCAAAAGGGTAAATTTATAGATTGTGAATTCTCTCTTTCTATACACACACACTAGACCTTTATATTTTTATTTATTTATTTACTTGGTAATTTTTTGTTTTGTTTTGTTTGTTTTAGATAGGGTCTTTGTAGCTCTGGTCTTGAACTCTATGTAGACCAGATCTCTATAGAGATCCTCTTGCCTCTGCCTCCTGAGTGCTGGGAAATAAAGGTGCACACCATCATACCAGGTTTATATCAGGCTTTTAAAAATACTTTTTAAAATTAAAAAATTTTTAGGGCTGGGTGGTGGAGGTGCATTTCTTTAATCCCCACATTAGGAGGCAGAGGCAGGTGGATCTCTGAGTTCAAGGCCAGCCTGGTCTACAGAGTGAGTTCCAGGACAGCCAGGGCTACACAGAGAAATCTTGTCTCGAAAAAGAAACAACAGAAAAGTTCCCAAGGCCAAGTGCAACTGCACCCAAACAAACATCAGTCCTGAAAGGAAAGACATGCTTGGGAGAATGCACCAGGGGCTGCAGGCTTCAGAGAGCAGGGCAGGGTAAGGCAAACACGGGGCTCCAGCCCAAGGGTTCTTCGTCAGAGCTCACACTGTGCCCCATGAGTGGTCAGTCCAGGCATGCTGCCGGGGGTGGGGAGTGGAGGTGTGAAGGAAGTGAGACACTCCTGAAGGGTGACTTTACAACATATGGGATGGAAGAAGAGACCAGTGGCGTTTGTCTGGAGAGTGAGACAAAGGCTGACATTGATTAGTGGCAAACCTAGACACATTACATTATAGGGGGAGGTTCTGCAGGCCTTGGTGATGAAAGCCAAGGAAGACAGAAGGAGCAGTCACATTGAAGGTACTCAGGGGAAGGAAAGGGAGCAGCCTTTCCCAAGGATGTGGCTGCCCCACACCAGCCAGCCCATCTGAACCTGTGACAAGTCTACCAGCAATTCCAGGAAACAGTTACCAGAGGAGGAGACTGTTGTCTTTTTATTTAATTGTTGCTGCTTTTTAAGCCACAGCTGTCCGAATCAGCAGCTGCAACTCAGCCGCTACCAGCCAGCGGTTAGACCTCAAGGGCCGTAGCCAGAGGGAATTCTGTTCCCTCAAGCACCAACTCTTTCAAAGCTACAAAAGGAACTTAACTAAATCTCTGTCCCTCTAAAGGACTCAAGATTCAAAGGTTGAGGTGGAATTCTGCTCCTCAGAGAGGCTGAAGAGCAAGTAGCTCACCTCCTCTCCTTGCTCGAGTCTCCCCAAAGCCCTCGTGCTCCTTCCTCCTCGCTCCTCTTTATAAATTCTTCCCACCTGGCTCCTCCCTACCACTTCCTGTCAGCTAGTTGATGACGCAGCCTCCTGATCGAAGGTGAATTTTATTTAATCAAACACATCTCTGTATCTTTTTTTTTTTTTTTTTTTTTTTTTGGTTTTTCGAGACAGGGTTTCTCCATGTAGCTTTGCGCCTTTCCTGGAACTCACTTGGTAGCCCAGGCTGGCCTCGAACTCACGGAGATCCACCTGGCTCTGCCCTCCGAGTGCTAGGATTAAAGGCGTGCACCACTGCTGCCCGGCACATCTTTGTATCATTAAACAAATGTTCCAGAGCATAAACAAAAGTAGTACACCTTAAAATAATAATATTCTACAACAGGAAACTTCCTTCAGGTGAGGTAACTCACCTGACTCCCTGAGTCTCCATTACTGTGATCGATGTTGAGTGCACACCCAACTAAGTGTGGCCACTGATTGCAAAGGAACCTTCTGTCCAGGAGGGTAAGGTCCACAACAAACCAACCATGAAGGGCTTTGACGGAAATGACCACAGTCACCACGACAGCAGGAAGAGCCTAGACTGGAGGACTAGGACCTCTCTGTAAGGATAGATGCCTGCAGGTTGGACAGAAACCAGCAGTGTGGAAAAGGAGAAAAGTCTCCAGCCTCGAGGTCAGGAGCCCCACAGACCAGGAAAAGATAAAGACGTGAGCCCCACGAAACGCCCTCCTCGGGCTCATACCTTGTCACCTGGTCCCCAGCTGCACGCTGTCTTAGTGGTTTCTTTGGGAGGAGAGTGGCCACTAGACAAGTGTCCTTGAAAGTCATCCCGGTCAGCCCCTCCCTCTCTCCCTGCATTTTGTCCACTATGAGGAAAACTGCTCTGCTCCGCCCTGCCCTCCCCATCGCAATGGACTGAACCCTGTGAGACCGTGAGCCCAAACTAGTCCTCCCCCCCTTGTTGTCTATGCAAACTAGTCCTTCCTTCCCTTGTTGTCTATGCAAACTAGTCCTTCCTTCCCTTGTTGTCTATGCAAACTAGTCCTTCCTTCCCTTGTTGTCTATGCAAACTAGTCCTTCCTTCCCTTGTTGTCTATGCAAACTAGTCCTCCCCCCCTTGTTGTCTATGCAAACTAGTCCTTCCTTCCCTTGTTGTCTATGCAAACTAGTCCTTCCTTCCCTTGTTGTCTATGCAAACTAGTCCTTCCTTCCCTTGTTGTCTATGCAAACTAGTCCTTCCTTCCCTTGTTGTCTATGCTAACTAGTCCTCCCCCCTTGTTGTCTATGCAAACTAGTCCTTCACCCTTGTTGTCTATACAAACTAGTCCTTCCCCCCTTGTCTATGCTAACTAGTCCTTCCCCCCTTGTTGTCTATGCTAACTAGTCCTTCCCCCCTTGTTGTCTATGCTAACTAGTCCTTCCCCCTTGTTGTCTATGCAAACTAGTCCTTCCCCCCTTGTTGTCTATGCTAACTAGTCCTTCCCCCTTGTTGTCTATGCTAACTAGTCCTTCCCCCTTGTTGTCTATGCAAACTAGTCCTTCCCCCCCTTGTCTATACTAACTAGTCCTTCCCCCTTGTTGTCTATGTTAACTAGTCCTTCCTTCCCTTGTTGTCTATGCAAACTAGTCCTTCCCCCTTGTTGTCTATGCAAACTAGTCCTTCCCCCCTTGTTGTCTATGTTAACTAGTCCTTCCCCCTTGTTGTCTATGTTAACTAGTCCTTCCTTCCCTTGTTGTCTATGCAAACTAGTCCTTCCTTCCCTTGTTGTCTATGCAAACTAGTCCTTCCCCCCTTGTTGTCTATGCAAACTAGTCCTTCCCCCCTTGTCTATGCTAACTAGTCCTTCCCCCTTGTTGTCTATGCAAACTAGTCCTTCCCCCTTGTTGTCTATGCAAACTAGTCCTTCCCCCCTTGTTGTCTATGTTAACTAGTCCTTCTCCCTTGTTGTCTATGCTAACTAGTCCTTCCCCCTTGTTGTCTATGCTAACTAGTCCTCCCCCCTTGTTGTCTATGCTAACTAGTCCTTCCCCCCTTGTTGTCTATGCTAACTAGTCCTCCCCCCTTGTTGTCTATGCTAACTAGTCCTTCCCCCCTTGTTGTCTATGCTAACTAGTCCTTCCCCCTTGTTTTCTATGCTAACTAGTCCTTCCCCCTTGTTGTCTATGCTAACTAGTCCTCCCCCCCTTGTTGTCTATGCTAACTAGTCCTCCCCCCTTGTTGTCTATGCTAACTAGTCCTCCCCCCTTGTTGTCTATGCTAACTAGTCCTTCCCCCCTTGTTGTCTATGCTAACTAGTCCTCCCCCCTTCTTGTCTATGCTAACTAGTCCTTCCCCCCTTCTTGTCTATGCTAACTAGTCCTTCCCCCCTTGTTGTCTATGCAAACTAGTCCTCCCCCCTTCTTGTCTATGCTAACTAGTCCTTCCCCCTTCTTGTCTATGCAGGTGTGGCGCTCACACTGCTGTGTAGTGCTGAGAGCAGAGGCAGGGACAGCGAGGATGCCTCCGTTCTCTTTGAACTATTACTGCTAATGCCATTCCTCCTTAATTCAAACTTCCAAGTTTTGGTCAAAGAAAGACAGGAAAAGAGAGAGAAACTGAAAAGGGAAAGAAGAAAAGATGCTTGTCTGCTAAGTTTCTACTCCAGGCCGAGGAGTCTCTAGAATGAAAAGCATGTGTGAAAGGAATGTGACATATTTTAACTTTCCAAATGTTTGGCAAGGTTGTGCCTCGAGGATCTGGCCCTGTGTTGAAACCTTCCATTTCAACGGCACTTTCAGCTTTCAAAGCGCTTTCGTGATCATTCCTATGAGCTTAATTCCCAGAGCCATGCTATGAAGAGGTACTCAGACTCAACAGAGGCTTTCACGGTGACACAGCA